AGCTCGGGGGCGGGGGGGGCGGGGCCGTTTGTAGACAAACGCATGAGAGCCCGTGAGAGCACCTGTGAGGGCCTGTCTGGTCCCGCAGAGGCGCGAGGGCTCCCGGGATCATCCAGGCCCCTCTGGGTGGCGTCTGGTGTGAGATGCGCGGATCTGGGAGGGATGTACTCGCCCCAGCCCTGGTCCCCTGGCGGAGCTCCTGCTCCCAGCGAGGCCCCGGGGACCCCAGCGGGGCCTGGTGTGTCCGACACCTGAGTGCTGGGGGGACACTGGGGGAAAGGCCACCCGCTGGCTCCCGGGCTCCCGCGCCCACGTTCCCTCCTTGGGTCGGGCCCAGGAGCCCAGTGTGCACAAGCAGGCACATGTGGCCGCCGCAGGCCGGGCGTGTCCTAATTAGCCCACTATCTTGGGAGCTCTTATTGGAAGCAAAACAAACCAAAAAAGTCCTGGTTTTGCCCGGGTTCCGCCCTGCTGCCAAGTGGGTCTCGCCTCAGCTTCCGGGGGGCCCTTGTTCCTGGGCCCCCAGGCTCCCGTGCAGGCGTGTGTTGTGCCTCCACTGCCAGCCGGTCCTGGCCCTGGGTCCTGGCTTCGCCTTTTCGGCAGCTTTGGTCCGGCGCAGGAGCCGGGCCCCAGGCAAAGCCCCACAACCGGGAAGGAAGGAAGCGGGAAGAAGTTTCCTTGTGGGCAGAATCCTCAAATGGGGAGGGAGGTAGGGGTGGGGAAGGAAAGGCCTTTTGAAGACACGAGGTGCAAAAAGCCACCCACACTTCCTAATCAGCGGGGTTCCCAGCTGCACTCAAAGCTGCAGCCACAAAACCTCTGCCATCTTCTGGGGGCGAGATAGACCCGTGCCCACAACAGGGTGAGCGCGGAGGGAGGTGTCCCCTGCAGGCGGGAAGGAGAGGAGACTTAGTGGGCAGCGTCCCCTGGGCGTGAGGACAGCCCCGCCCCAGCCTGGCCCAGCCCCGTGCCCCTGCAGCGGAGGGGGCTTCGGTGGCACCAGGCAGGACCAGGGAGCAGGGACTCCACCTGGCGTCTGTGCCAAGGGGGCCCGCAAGGAGAGGCCGGGGGGCCTGCCTGCTGGAAGGCTCGGCCCCCTCCTGCCTCGCTGCTGCTGGGTGCAGAGATCCTATCAGTTCTCCTCCTTTCGGCTCAGTGACTAATTCCTTGGCACCTTCCTCGGATCATTCAAGAATGTGGACAAGTTAAAATATGAACCACGTTGTCTCGGGTCCTCATCCTGCTTCTCCTGAGCAAGGAGTGTGGGCCCCACGCCCTGCTGCTGGCCCTGCCGTCCTCTTGCCAGGGATGGAGAGGGTGGGGGGCACGCGGGAGGCCTCGCCGGACAGCCCAGGGCGCTAACTGCGACAGGGAAGACCCTTCCTCCAGGGCCCCAGCTGGGCACGTGGAGGAGGCGGGAGTGTCGGGCTGGTACCGGGTACTGGGGCGTGGGAGGGGCCTGCTCATGCCCCGTCCTCACCCCTGGGCAGCCGTGATGGGGGAGCCGTCCTGCATCATTCATTCACTCACTCATTCATTCTGCTAGTTCACACGTCCAGCAAACCTCTTGCGCAGCCGCTCTGTACTGAGAACTCTGCCCAAGGGTCTGGAACGTGAGCCACGTTTGTTACTCTGCGTTTTCTAGTAGCCACGTTTGAAAAGATGAAAAGAAACTGGTGGAAGTCATTTAATAATTTAATTTATTTGCCCCCACTGTGACGGTTTTGGCATGCGATCGGTGTGAAATGGCGAAGGAGGAGTTTTCTCTTCTTTCTGTGGCCTAAGCCCTTGGAATCGGGGTGAGCTGCCAGCCACGGCACGGCCCTGCCCACACTGGCCGCATTTCATGCACTCCCTACCCCATGTGGCCAGTGGCCGCCATGTCGTGGGTCCTCCCAGTCCAGCAGTGTCACAGAGACCTCTAGGGACACGCGAGCCTGTCCTTCCGGAGAATGGCCGTTAAGGTGGTTGGACTGGGTGGCCTGGGAGGGCACTCGGGGTCTGGAGGCAGCTCTAGCCGTGTGACCAGGGCTGGCCCCTCGGAGCAGTGATGCCTGAGCGCAGCCCAGGCTGGTGAGGGGTCTTGGCCGGACCAGGCAGGAGTGTGGGCTGGCGTCGGCAGCGGTGGCGGGAAACAGTTCACAGAGACCTCAGAGGCAGCACGGGCAACGGAGAGGAGTCTGGAAGGGGGTGGCCTTGGGCCGGGGCCTGGGCTGTGCTCGGCCCTTCCCCACACCACCCCCTTCAACCCCACCGTCACCGTAAGGATAGCTGGCGGCTGGGGCCTGTCCACCCTGCCCAGAGCCTACTGGCAGCTCGCTGGGGCGGGGTGGTGGGGTCTCCCAGCCCAGGCTGCAGACCAAGTGGGGCTGGTCCTTCTCCGTCTTTCTCTGAGGGGGGCAGTCGTCACTTCCCTGGGACCCTGTCACAACAGCCAGGAGCCAGGAGAGGTGAGGGTCGGGCCCACTGTGTGAATTTTTAACAGCTTTAAGGTATAATTCACATACCATACAATTCCCCCATTCACTTTTTCTTTAATCCTATACAAGGCTGAACAATTTACCCATTCAGAGTGCACGGGTTCCGTGCTTTTTTAGTATCTGCACAATACGTGCAGCCATCACCGACATTAGAACGTTTTCATCACTCCCCAAAGAAATCCTGCACCCTTTAGCTGTCACGCCCCCGTCCTCCCCGCCAGCCCAGCCCCAGCCGCTACTCTGTCCTGTGTCTGGGGGTCAGCTTGTCCTGGACATCTCCCGTGCGCGGAACCGTCCGCCACGCGGCCTTTGTGTCTGACTCTCGCTCGGCGCGATGTTGTCAGGGTCCGTCCGTGCAGTAGCCTGTGTCGGGGCCTCGCTCCTTCCTGTGGCCGAGTAACGTTCCAAGGCACAGACGCCAGCTTGTTCACCCACGTGCTGGACACGGGGGTGCTGTGACGCTCATGCAGCACCAGCTAGGCAGGTTGTGGGGCCCGACAGAACCCAGAAGGAGGCCTCGGCGTGTCAGTGAGGCGGGCAGGGTCTGTCCCACAGGGGGACCTGTCCCACGGGCAGATGGTCCCCAAGTTCATGGCCCACCTGATGGCTCCTTCCGGCGGCAGCTCCGTCCAGGGCCTTGGGCCAAGGCCCTTGCAGCAGAGCCCAGGGCGTGGGTCAGACGTGGCGGCTCAGCCCTGCGGGGGCCGAGATGCACTCTGGTGGCAGTTGGCTGTCCCCGGCCTGGAACAGCCAAGGAAAGTGCCTGTCTGGCCGTCGGAGGCCCAAGAGCAGTGACCATGGTGGGGTTCAGAGACAGCCCCCTGCCCCCTGCCGCCTCCCTGTCCCTCGGACGTCACTGGGGGAGCCGCCTGCACGCTGGGCGGCCTTCAGGATTGGACTCTCCCTCCTGACTCGCCAGGTGTGTGTTCCCATGGGATGCGCAGCCTGGCCACAGGTCCTGGGCATCTGGACCAGCCCCAGGGCTGGGAGGGGCTGGGGGTGGAGTCTGTGTTGTTGGATGCTGAAGGGCGGGTGTGCCCTCCAGGCAAATTGAGCTGGAGGAACTCTGGGTTATTCAGCCCAGCCCTCCTTTGATGGGGAAGACTGAGGTGCAGGGAGGGCCGGGCTGGGCTCACCCCATGGTGGCCGGGCTAGAAGCAAGTCTGCCTGCACCCTCGCTTGCTGGGGAGCCTGGCCCAGGAGAGACCAAGGAACGGGCTTTCTGTGCTTTACTGTGCAGGGGGCAGCCAGCGGCAGGGCAAGGAGTGCGCTTGCTGGGTTCCGCGCAGCTCTGGGGAGGGCACAGGGAGCCCTGCTCCCACGCTCAACGCCCCTCCCCCTACCGCGATCCCAGCTCAGGGCTCTGTCCCTGGGGTGCTCAGGCCGCCCTGCTGGCCGCTGGTCTCTGTGTCATCTGCTGGGGTTGCTGTGCCGCCCAGGCCAAGTCACTTTCCCCATTCTGTGCCTCAGTTTCCCCATCTGTCAAACGAGGACAATAGTAGCGCTTGCCTTCGGCCTGTGGGGAGGATTGAGTGAGTTTGTGCGAGTTAAACCTCGCATGGCCCCGGCACAGGGAAAGCTATTTCGGCGCCTGTCACCAGAGGCCCGTTTGGGCCCGGGGCAGCCGTTCTCCAACACCCGCCTCTGCGGGGAGCCTCCGGGTGAGGTCTGCGCTGCCCTGGTTCTGAGACGCTGGAGTTCGGACCAGCACCCCTCTCTCTGCTGGGGCCTCCCCCAGGCTGCTGGCAGAGGCCGATCCATGCTGGGGTCCTGGGACCCCACAGAGGAGGACCCGGGATGCGCTGACTGCAGTTCCTGTTCCTCAGGTGTGTGGTCTTGGAGGGGCCTGGGGCGTGGGTCCAGCGAGAACTCTGCAGCCAGGAGGCTGTGGGCTGCAGACCCTGCCGTCTAATAGGGACGGGACCGTTCTAGAAGGGATGAGGCCGCCCAAATGGGAAAACCTGGCTCAGCCAGAGACACAGAGCCACAGTCCTGTCCCACCACCTGGATGGCTGTACCGAGGGGCCAGATCTGGTCTCCAGGGCCTCAGGGGTGCCCATGCACGCACCTGGGGGTGCCCACCCTGCAGGCTGGGGCCAAGCCTGCCTGGCTTCCTGCGGCCGGGATCTCTCCTTGGAGCTGTGTCTGGGGACGGGGGACGAGGCTGTCCAGACCCCGATGCTGCCCCTGGAGCGTGCGGTGAAGTCCGCCTGGGCAGGGGGCTGGGGGCCCCCCATACCTCCCTCCCCAGGGTGCGAGCCTGGATTCCACCTTGTCAGCGGCTGGGTGGATCCCCAGAAGCCCTGGCACCGGGGGCCGATGCAGAGGGGAGGGCGAGGTGAATATGTCAGTTTATCCCAACACAAGTAGTGGCCTGTTAGGGTGGGGGGGGCCGAGGAAATATTTGGGATGACTGGAGCCGCTGGCCCTTTAAGGCTCCTGTAACAGGACACCTCCCGGGATGGGACAGGACGACTGACTGTGTGTGTTTTCCCCTCCCCGCCTCCCCCTGCGCGCCAGGCCCAGTTCAATCTGCTCAGCAGCACCATGGACCAGATGGGCAGCCGCGCGGCCCCGGCCAGCCCCTACACCCCCGAGCACACGGCCAGCGTGCCCACCCACTCGCCCTACGCCCAGCCCAGCTCCACCTTCGACACCATGTCCCCGGCGCCTGTCATCCCCTCCAACACCGACTACCCCGGCCCCCACCACTTCGAGGTCACTTTCCAGCAGTCGAGCACAGCCAAGTCGGCCACCTGGACGGTGAGTTGTCCCTGCTCCCAGGGGCCTCGGGCCGGGGAGGGGGTGGCTGCATCTGGGTGCCTTGGGCGGACAGAGTGCATCCTGCTGTCCACACGGGGTTCCCAATGGCCAGGGAGGAGCATCGGGGCAGGAGGCGGGTCTCGGGCTGGGCAGTCTGGGTGTGCCACCCCTGGGACTCACGGCCAGAGCCAGCCGACCTCCTGAAGGGCCGCAGAGGGATGGGCTTGGCCTCACCCTGCTGGTGAGGCCCATGGGGCCGGGGCCAACTGTCCCCGCCAAGACCATCTGGCCGGCTTCCCTGCACAAATACGGGGGCTGCTGGCCCCGGGGTCCACGGAAACTGCCTCCTCCAGGCTGTGAGACGCGGCTGCTGGGTGGTTAGGGCTCTCCTCTGGAGTCTGTCTCGGGTGTCATCCCCAAGCATTGGTGTAAGGCAGGGAGGTCGGGGGTGGGACCGTAGGGCTGAGGACTCAGGTCCTCACTGCGGTGCCCTTGGGGACCGTCTGGCGCAGGGCGGGGATCTTGCCAACCTTGACAAGCTCACACGTGCACACAGCCACTCACCGCAAGCCGGGCACTGTGTGAAGTGCTTTGAGTTTAGCAAATTCTTAAAACCGCCCACCCACCCACCAGGTCAAATCTATTATTGTTCCCACTGCACAGCCAAGGAGACTGAGGCTCAGGGAGCGAAAGTAGCTTGCTCAGAGTGACGCACATAGTAAGTGGGGGTGCCAGGTGGGGGCCCCGCGTCTGGGACCCTGAGTCTCTGGTCCTGACCGCTGAGCTGAGCTGCACAACCAGTGCTGCTGCCGGGGAAGGAGAGGGCGGGTGAGGCTGCGGGAAGGCCGGCCCAGGGTGCAGGGTGCAGCGGACGCCAGGTGGGAAGGGCAGCCCCTGGTCTCCTCGCCCCACTGAGGAGGGGGAGAGCGAGCCCTGCCGGGGCGGCCTGGCCGCGGGCTGCAGAGGTGCTCAGTGGCACAGCTCGGACAGTGTCCAGAAGTCAGAGCAGGGGGGCTGCATTCCCCCCACTCAGGACGGCCGAGGAGGTGCCCCCCAGGCTCTCCCACTTTAAGAACTGGGTCCCACGGTCCCCACAGCCCTGCTGGCCATCGCTGTGGTTTTCCCACACTCCTGGAGGGCTGCAGGGCAGGGCGGAGCCTAAGGTAGCGGGCTCTGCAGGTGGCCGGGACAGCCCTGCACGGCTGGTCTGGGGTCTGGGGTCTGGGTTCCAGGCCAGGCTGCCTTGCAGTTGTTTCTGCCTCTTGCTCAGGCTGTGGGCTTCCCCAGCCTGGACTCCTGGGGCTCTAGTGGGGCGAGAGGGGCGGGAGGACCACGGCACCTCCTCCAGGGCCGCTCCCCCACCCTGTCCAGCAGGTATCGTAGACCCCAACCTGATGCTGGGTTTTCTCTGTCTGTAAGTTGTGATTCCCGCTCCTTGCTGTGTGGTGGAGACAGGACTGGGGGGTCGTGCCCGTGCAGTGCCCAGCGCAGAGCTCACCCTGTGTGTTGTCTTACTGTTGTGTCGCTGCGGTGCCGACAGGGTGCCCGGCCCTCCTGAACCACCGGTTCTGTGGCTGCTGCACCTGCCTGTGGGGGAGGGGACCAGGACCATCGGTGCCTCCGCCCGCTTTGAGGTCCAGCTGGGCGGCCTGAAGCCAGTCGGGAACTCCCAGGCTTCCCTGCACTGCACACTTCTGGTGACTGCAGCCTCACTGCCCCTCTTCCAAGTTCAGACTTGTTCCCTAAGTCCTCTCCCCTCCCACACCGGCCTCTTGTTGTCAGGGAGGTTTTGGGTGCAGCACCCCCTGGTCCTGGTGGGCAGCACCCCCTGGTCTTGGTGGGCACCCCGTGGTCCTGGCGGGCAGCAGCCCGTGGTCCTGGTGGGCAGCACCCCCTGGTCCTGGCGGGCAGCACCCCCTGGTCCTGGTGGGTACCCCCTAGTCCCGGCGGGCAGCAGCGGGAGCTGTGCCTCCCTTCCTCCAGCTGTCCATGGCCACTGGCAGCCCTCCCAGGGCATCTTGGATGGTCTGAGCTGGTCCTCAGGGAGGGATGCGACCTGCCCCCTCTGTGCTGGCTGCCTGCCCCCACCCGGGGGTCTCCACCACCCCCCGCCAGGTGTGTGGCATCAGGTTTCAAGGGACACGTGGTTCTGTCTCAACTGCCCTGCCCTGAGTAGCCCCATGGGGTGCTCTGCTGGGATGGACAGGGTGGCCCTGGCTGGCCAAACGTACCAGGGACAGGGGAAGGCTCTGCCTCCAAGCTCTGAGTCCCCCTGCCGGAGGCCTGCTCCCGCCCTGCTGCCCTGCACACGCTCCTGGAGCTAGCTGGGAGGAGGATGCTGTTGCCTGTGCCCGGCTCCCCCTCCCCTGCTCAGCGACAGAGGGAGTGGGGTGGGACAAACATTGGAAATGAGATTTTGGCACCTCAGCTCTCTGGGAGCAGGCCCCCCGCGTTTCTGTCCTTGCAGGGCGGTGGCGGGCAGCGGCTCGCAGTGTGGGTCGGGCCGCCGGGCAGGGCCTGCTCTCAGCTCTTGGGGGTCCCGCTGTGCGGGCGCTGCCCAGACTCGCTGCCAGGGCCTGTGTCCGGGCCCCAGCGCCACGCCGCACTCAGCCCCCGCCACGCCGCTGCTGGTAACTGATAGATAATTCATATTTTTCTCAAGTGCGATTCCACGTCGATTGCTGCCTCCCTTCCTCTCCCCATCAGGAAAGCCCCCACACCAGCCCCCAAGTGACCACAGCTGTTAATGGGGTCTTTGGCCTCTGCTTTGCTGAGGCCTGCGGTGGGTCTTCCCGGCAGGAGGTCCGTCTGCCCTGATCGGCTTCCCTTGGATTCGGATCCCCTTGGGCACTACGGGGTGTGCAGGCTGCAGCTCCCGGGCTCATGTGCACGTGTGCACACATGTACAAGTGTGGACGCAGAAACACAGACACAAGCCCCCCACACGTGCACGCGCACATGGACACACCAGTGCACATGCACGTGTAAACATACAGCCTGCGTGCACATGTGCAGGCCTCCCTGTCCCTGCCCAGGGTTGACACCCCCGCATCCCTCAGGAAGCCAGGAAGAGGAGGAGGTGGGTCACGGGAAACCGGGCAGCTACAGAAGGGATCTGTGTTTGGTCACGGGACTGTACCCAGTGACAGGACAAGGCTGGTGTTTGGTGGGAGGGACATTGCATGGCAGGACAGGGAGGAGCTGAGCTGCCTGCCAGGTGGTCCCCAGACCTGCCTACGAGTGCCCTGCTGCTTCCCCTCCCTGCCCTGGCATCCTCACATGTCGGGGACGTGGCCTGCTGGCCGTGGTGGGGACAAATGAGCTGGCTCGTGGGATTTCTTACTGCAGGGTGGTTTGTGGGTGCTGTCCTGGCTGAGGCTTGTCCCACTGTGGGACCCATCGGGGACCTGGGGCGAGGCAGATGCTGGGGAGCATCACAGCTGTCAGGGAGGGGACTGATGCCCGTTGGATGGTGGCCAGGTGGCTGGTGGAGCTGGACCAAGGGTGGTGACATCACTTGCCTCTATCCCAGTTTCATGTCCTTCCCAGGACAGTGGGGGCTGGAGCTTGGGCCATGCCTCTGGGCCCTGATGGCCACTCCTGTCCTGAGAGCTCCCACAGTGGGCAGTGCAGCGGGTGGCTGGTCCCAGGAGTCCCTCGGAGCAGAGAGGATGAGCAGGAGCAATTTCCCCATCAGAGCAGTCGCATACGGCGGCATCATATGGCGGCATCTGGATGCTGCGCCGCCCGGCTCAGCCTCCTCCTGCCCCGCTCAGCCTCTTCAGGGGAGGGGGTTGCCTCAGTGTTTGGGAAGTTTGGGGATGGGGCTCTGAGGTCAGGCAAGAGGGCTTTGTGTGGTAGGAAAGCCCGGCTCAGCATGACATCTGTGGGCACCTCGGGGCAGGCTGAGTGACACCACCCACAGCCCGTGAGGTGGGCTGCCATGGGCGAGACTGTGAGGACACGCAGAGGGGTGGTGGCTGGCTGGCCCTGGGAGTCCTCCGGCCGGACAGATGGCCTGGACACGGCCCCCTGGATGACCTCCAGCTGCCCTCGGACCCCGCGTGTGCATGTGCGTGTGTGTCCGTCCCGGGGAGCGCTGGCCTCATGCGGTGTGAGAGCACCCCCTCCGCGCCCTCGGGAGGAGCAGCAGCCGGCGGGGCGGGAAGCACAAAGGCTCTGCTAGGGATTCCTGGGGAGAATGAGGCTGAGTCAACACTAATGGGTTCGAGAGAAAACTTTCCAGCCCCTCGGAGGTTTGCAAGCAGGAGAATAACAGCGGAGGTGTCCCAACATGATCGTGGTATCAATTGCGTTATCCTAAAAGTTTATGGAATGCATAAGTGGAATTAATACCTTTTACTGGCACCAGAAGCAATTATATGTATTTAAAGCCGAGGGAAGAGTTCTAACAATGTTTATTGTGGAGATGAAACGTGGGTTATTAGGGGAAACAAGATCACTTAGGGAGAAATTGCGGCAATTGCTTGCGTTGCGCGGTGGAGCTCTGCGGCGGGAGCAGAGCTTCCGTAGGCTGGCGCTGGCAGGGTCAGCGCCCTGGGCTCGTGCCCCACAGAGCGTTGGCGCTTCTCTCTTCGTCCTCCCAAGGAGCTGGAGATCCCCGAACTTGGCCTTGGAGGCCATGTGTGAGGCCGGGGAGGCCCCAGCTCTGAGTCCCTGGGTCCTGGCTACAGCAGGACACTGGCAGCCTGGTCTCAGGAGCTGAGCCATGCGCCCCAGCCCGCGGCGCCTCCCACACCGCCTGGTTCTTGTAGGGTACATGAGGGAGAAGCCCCTGTGGGGTGACATTCCACTCCGTAGGTTTGGGGCTGCGGAGGGACACGCTCCAATTCACGCGTCGTGATGAATATCTATCTGCTAGGACTTGTTTCCAAAATGCTGACAGCTCTGTGGACCACAGCGTCTGATTGGCAGTGCTGGCGGTGACGTCGCAGAGCCCTGTGCAGGGCCTCGCAGCGTGTGGCAGGCGGCCCTCCTAC